TTGCAATAAATAGGTCAATGATCTTTCAAAATTATGTCATTCTATCTCCAGCATCATTTCTTGAATCAAGGCCACATTTCCCGAGTACTTATCCTTCCTCTTTGTTTCCAACTTTCCCATTCCTAGCAACAGTAATTGTCAATGCATCTTGATAGCATGATTGATCAATTTTATACTGAAGAAGTTGGCAGAATTTTTCAATTTCATCATCCTTGGCTTTAGTTGTTTGTGGATAAATCTGAATAATAGTGGTAGTAACAGGTTTTCCTAGTTGTTGCTAAGTGCCTTCAAGTCAGGTGCGACTCATAGCGACCCTGTATAGAATTTCCAAGGAGTGGCTGGTGAGTTTGAACTGCCAACCTTGCAGCTCAAACCAACCTTGTGGTCCGGTGCTTATCCTACAGTGCCACACCAGGACTTGTATATTACCCTATCACAACAGCATTGTGCATCAACATAGATCTTAAAGTATTCTATTTAATGATGAATGTGACACCATTCCTCTTCAATTTGTCATTACCAGCAGTGTAAACCATATGATTGTCTGATTTAAAATGGACATTATCAGTCCATTCCAGCTCACTAATGCCTTGGATATCAATATGCATTCTCTTTCATTTTTGACAACTTCCTATTTTCCTGAATTCGTACCTCACACATTTCATATTCTGATTATTAATGAATGACAGCAGCTGTGTCTTCTCATTTTGAGTTCCCATCAGCAAATGAAAGCCCTGAAAGCTTTGCCCCATCTATGTCATTAATGCCAACTCTACTTTTAGGAGGCAACTTTTTCCCAGTCATATTTTGAGCACCTTCCAACATGAGGGGCTCATTTTCTAGAACTGTATCAGACAATGCTCCACTGCTATTCATAAGGTTTTCAGTGGTTGACCATTCAGAACTGGTACACATCTCCTTCTTCCTAGTCTGTCTACTGAAATCTTTCCATAAAGGGAGACCCTGCTGATACTGAAAATACTGCTGGCATAGCTTTTAACATCACAGCAACATACAAGCCACCAAAGTATGACAAATTGGCAGATGAGTTGTAGAATTATCTTCTTATTAAGTTCGATTCATTCCTTCTGTATAATTCTCCAAGTAGACAAGCATACCACTTATAAATGAATATATTTTCCCTCTTCGTCTCTTCTATATATTAAAACAACAGAGTGTGTGGTTAGGTGCCATTGTCCTGGCCCTAACTTATAATGACCCCATATGTAACAGAACAAAATGGTACCTGTTTCTGTACTGGGCATCTCTGAGCTCATTGTTGCAGCCTCTGTAGCAATCCATCTCATTTAGAGTCTGCCTCTTCTCTGGTGGTTCTCTACTTTCCCAAGTGTACTGTGTTGAATTGTGTCACCCCAAAACATGTGTTGTAAATCGTAACCCTAAACTTGTGGTATGAATCCCATTTAGAAATGGGGGTTTATTTGTTATTAGGTTAATGAGACAGTATTTGTATAAAGTGCATCTTAAATCAATCCCTTCTAAGACATAAGAGACTAAACAAGCCCATGAGCGATCAGAGAGGAGGGAAGAGAGACTCCGAGCCTCATGAAGAATGTCCAGTAGCAGAAATTCAGAAGAGACAAGGCCCTTCCTACAAAACTGATAAGATAGAAGAAAACTTTCCCCAGACCCAGCACCGTGCATTCAGACGTCTTCCTAAACATAAGAAACGAAATGCCTGCTCGTTAATCCCTCCCATTTGTGGTGTATCTGTGATAGCAGCACTGGATAACTAAGAGAGCAAGCATGAGGTCCTTCTCCAGGGATTGGTCCCTCCTGGTGCTATGTCCAAAGTTGTTGTTGTGGCTATGTGCCGTGGAGTCGGTTCCGACTCATAGCGACCCTGTACAGGGTTTCCGAGGCTGTAAATCTTTACGGGAGCAGAAAGCCTCATCTTTCTCCCGCAGAACAGCTGGCAGTTTCGAACTACTGACCTTGCAGTTCGCAGCCCGATTCTTAACCACTACGCTAACAGAGCTAAGCAACGCAAAGTCTTGCCATTCTCATTTCTAAGGAACATGGTAGCTGTGCTTCTGGGAACGAACTTTTTGTTTGTTCTTCTGGCACTCCATAGTATTTTTAATACTCTTTGACAATACCATTCTGCTTGCAGAAAGACTAGAGTTCTAAAGGTTCCAGTCAGGGGTGAAAAAAAAAAACAAACCAAAGAGGCTTTTATTAAGACTATAAAGTGGTTCCTAGAATATTTCACCATATATGTTGGATTGTAACACAGAACTCACCAGAAAAGAACTTGTAATCTCTAAGGAAAGATACTGTCTCTAAGGAAAGATACTGATAAAGAGGTACATTGGTGAACACAATGAATCATTTGCACTTGTAATTAATTTGCTTACAGCTTATTTATTTCATGAACCTTCTCTCCCTTAGGCAACAACAGACACTGCTTCTCAATAGTTAGCTTTCATGATTTAGATTTTTTTATTATTATTTAAACAAGCAAGTGATGGGGACAGGATTTTTGGTCTTTAAATAACAGGAAAATCAAAAGAAAATGTTAAGGAGATATTTATAGAAAACACAAGCATGTATACTGGGGATTCTTCTGCTTAAAGGTGATGTATGTTTATTGTTTTATAATATTTATAGTAAAAATGGAAAACATGGTAGTTCTGCAGGATAAGCATTGGCTTGAAAACCATAAAGTCAGTGGTTCAAGACCACCAGTCATTCCTGTAAGAAGACTCTTCCTGCTCCTGCCAAATATTAACAGCCTTGTAAACCATATACAGGGTTGCTAGGAGTTGGAACCAACTCAACGGCACCTAACAACAACAGTAAGAATAGGATTTATTTCATGGATAAGGTAAATCAATGAAGAATTGCTATTTGGTTTTAGAACAGATGTACAGATACACACACAAAGGCTTTATATGATTATGTCATGTACTGCCAATGCTAATACGAAAATGAGTTCACAAGTCTTTGACAAAGAAATTATTTGAAAGCCAGCTTTATTGTTTTCTGTGGTTCAAAGGATCTATTATTTTCCCCTTTGAGATAACAGAAAAACCAAGTGCACTGCCATCGAGTTGATTCCAAGTCACACCAACCTATATGGGGTTTCTGAGACCATAAATCTTTATGAATGCAGGTAAGCTCATATTTCTCCCTTGGAGCTGCTGGTCAGTTTGAACTGCAGACTTTGTGGTAGTTCAGTGCTTATCCTACAGAGCCACCAGGACCCCTTCTCTGTTGAGCTATGGGCTGCTAAAAATGATCTCAAACTTGAAATTGCTCTTAAAATTTACTGATACCTTTCCTTTAAATGCGTAACTCTGAAATCATCTTACTTTTATTTTTTTTAAAAATTAGATTAATTTAGAATAAAATTCTATGTCCCTTAGACGAAAAAAAAAAAACAAGAGGCAAGCATATTGAATCAGGGGGATAATCAAATTTCTATGCATAATTCTAAGAATCAAATAAGAGGTAAGAGTTTATTCCAATCATTCCTTAATTGAGGACATGAAGGTAGTAAGAGAAGAATGCTGAAGCAGAATTCAATGAGAAATAATTGAACTACCATGAAACTTTGTCCTTGAAGGTCTCTCAACAGGAGTACAAAAAGTTATATTATTTCAAATGTAGAGTTCACAGCAACAAGGTTGTTAGAGGAATCCAATAGCAACAGCTCATGCCCCAGTATAGTTTACAAAAAAGAAAAGAAAAAATCTAAAGGCTGACAAAAATAATGTGGCCCAGGTATCTGAAAGATTTACACTCTTTTACATAAATGTGTCATTTCAATCTTATAAATGTATACTAAAATTTAATAAATATACATGTAATAAATAAATCTATCCATTTATCCTTAGCTAAGCAAGCAAGATTAAAATGCATCTGTTAAAAGCTTAAAAGGCAAGTAAATCATTTAGGAAATACATTTTGTTTTTCTTTTCATTTAACACTTTTAGCCAACAAAGATACCTGCTTATTTGTAGATGCTTGTTCCTACTCATAGCAACCCTATATAGGATTTCTGAGGAGTGACTGGTGAACTTGAACCACCGACCTTGCAGTCCAGTGCATTAATCCACAGTACCACACTTAGAAATCAAAAAATCCAAAGTGTGAACAAGGTAGATCTAAACTAAAATGAATAGATCCAAATATTGTCAATATGTACAAAAGTTGCATTAGCTTAATGGGCTTTGTAGGATACACATTAGACTGTGAACCACAAGGATAGCCATTCAAGTCCACCAGATGATCCAACAGGAGAAAGATGAGGCTTCTATCTCCTGGAAAGACTTACAGCTTCAGAAACTACACAGGGTCTCTAAGAGTTGGAAAGGACTCAATAGCATTTGACAATAACAGCTGCACCTTAAAGTTAAAATAGATACATACAAATTAGCCTAAATTCTAGTTAAAGCTTTACTTACAAATCTGTTTTTATTTTCAGGTTAATTTTCTTTTGTTGGCAAAGGAAAATTATAGATTTAACATGCCAGAAATAAAAGAGATTAAGAGCTTACAACAACCCAAACAGCTAGAACTCAACTGCTTACAAAGCAAGTCTATTTTTATTACAAGAGATTAGTGTTGTTGTGGGTCATTTGCAAATCCTTTAACAGAATATGGAGATAAAGTTGAAACAGAAGCTGCTAACTCTAAAATGTTATCACTCTCCAGTGAGGCTGCAGACTGCGGAGAAGATTATAAACGACAGAAGTGGGGGAAATATGCTTGTGGTTTTAATGTTTTTGCAACTTCTTCACTTATTGGAATACATACAAAGATTTGTATGGATTGTAGCCTATAATACATGCTGCTTAGTTAGAGTTTTCACTATAATGATTGTTAAAAATAAATGTTATAACTTATTATTAAATGTTATTTAGTAGTATTGTGTTCATAATTTCTTTAAGACAATCATGCCACCATTTAATAGGTGGCACTTAACAACAACAATACTCTTATGAAATATTTGTTTCTACTCTTTTCTCATAAAGTGGTACGAACACAGGATGTGTTGGATATAGAACAGATAAACTGGAATCAGACTGTGAAGGGCATTGTGAGTCATTCTAGAGTTGTAAAGTTACAGCAATGAATAGTGATAATGGAGATGGTAAACTATCTGAGGGACATTTCCTGAGAAGAATTTTGAAACTGATTAATGGTAGCAAAGGAAGAAGAAGGGTTAGTGAAGGAAGACTCTACAGACCATGGATGGGAGGCCAATCTCCAAGACTAAGAGCACAAAATACAGAGCAGATGTGCTCTGAGTAAGCACATGACGGAAGGGATAGGATAAAGTGGGATGTAATGACTTTATTCCACCACTCGTCTGTCAGTTTGTCATACTGTGGTGACTTGTGAGTTGCTGTGATTCTGAAAGCTATTCCACACAGATATTTTAAATACCAGCAGGGTCACCCATGGTGGACAGGTTTCAGATGAGCTTCCAGACGAATACAGACTAGGAAGAAAGAGTGACGAGCTATTTTCAAATATTTAGTCACTAAAAACATTATGAATAGCAGAGAAACACTGTCAGATATAATACCAGAAAATGAGCGCCTCAGGTTGGAAGGCACTCAAAATGCGACTGGGGAAGAGCTGCCTCCTCAAAGTAGAGTTGACCATGATGATGCAAATGGAGTAAAGCCCACGGGACCTTCATTTGCTGATGGCGCACAAATCAAAATGAAGGAAAACATCCATTGAAAATTGGAACATGGGATGTACGAAGTATGAATCTGGGAAAATTAGAAGTTGTCAAAAAAAAAAAAAAAAAGGAATGCATACACATAGATATCTTAGGCATTAATGAGCTGAAATGTACTGGTATTGGCCATTTTGAATCTAATGACCACATGGTTTACAATGCCAGGAATGACAAATTGAAGAGGAATGGTGATGAATTCATTGTCAAAAAGAACATATCCAAATCAGTCATGAGGTACAATACTGTCTGTGATAGGATAATATCCATGTGCCTACAGGGAAGCCGAGTTAATACCACCATTATTCAAACTTACACACCAACCACTAAAGCCAGTGAGGACAAAATAGAAGAATTCTACCAATTTCTTCAATCTGAAATTGATCAAACATGCACTCAAGATGAATTGATCTTTACTGGTGATTGGAATGCAAAGGTTGGGAGCAAAGAGGAAGGATCAGTGATTGGAAAATATGGCCTTGGTGATAGAAATGATGCTGGAGATCGCATGATAGAATTCTACAAAACCAATGATTTGTTCATTTCAAATATGTTCTTTAGACAGCATAAAAGATGACTATACACATGGACATCACCAGATGGAATACATAGAAATCAAATTGACTACATCTGCGGAGAGAAACAAAGGAAAATTCCATATCATCAGTACAAACAAGGCCATGGGCAGACTGTGAAACAGACCATAAATTACTCGTATGCAAATTCAAACTGAAGCTGAAAAAAATGAAAACAAGTCCACAAGAGCCAAAATATAACCTTGAATATATCCCACCTGAATTTAGAGATCATCTGAAGAACAGACTTGATACATTAAACACTAAAGACAGAAGACCAGAAGAGTTGTGGGATGACATCAAGAACATCATTCATGAAGAAAGCAAATAGTTATTAAGAAGACAAGAAAGAAGGAAAAGGTCAAAATGGATGTCAGAAGACACACTGGCACTTGCTCTCCAGCGTAGAGATGCTAAAGCAAATGGAAGAAATGAGGAGGTCCCAGAGCTGAACAGAAAATTTCAAAAATCAGCTCAAAAAGATAAAGCCAAATACTAAAACAAAATGTGCAAAGATCTGGAATCAGAAAACCAAAAAGGAAGAACATGCTCAGCATTTCTCAAGCTGGGGGAACTGAAGAAAAAATTCAAGCCTCGACTTTTGTTATTGAAAGATTCTCTGGGCAAATTATTGAATGATGAAGAAAACATCAAGAGAAGATGGAAGGAATACACAGAGTCACTGTACCAAAAGGAAATGGTTAATGTTCAACCATTTCAAAAGGTAGCCAATGATACTGAAGGAGGAAGTCCAAGGTGCAATGAAGGAATTGGCAAAGAACAAGGCACCAGGAATTGATGGAATAAAAATTGAAATCTTTCAAGAAAGTGAGGCAGCACAGGAGGCACTCACTTATCTCTGCCAAGAAATTTGGAAGACAACTATCTAGCCGACTGATTGGAAGAGATCCATATTTGTGCCCATTCCAAAGAGAGGTGACCCAATGGAATACAGAAATCATCAAACAATCTCTTTAATATCCCATGCGAGTAAAGTTTTGCCACCGGTAATACAGAAATGGCTACAATCATACATTGACAGAGAACTTCCAGAGGTTCAAGTCGGGTTCAGAAGAGGTCGTGGAATGAGGGATATCATTGCTGATGTCTAGTGGATCTTGGCTGAAAGCAGAGAATATCAGAAAGATGTTTACTATGCTTTATTGAGTATGCAAAGGCTTTCGATTGTGTGGGTCATGACAAGCTATGGGCAACATTGTGAAGTATGAGTATTCCGGAACACTTAATTGTGCTCAGTACCTGGACCAAGAAGCAGTTCTTCAAACAGAATATGGAACACTGAATGGTTTAAAAGTTAAAAAGGTGTGTGACAAGGTTGCAGTCTTTCACCATACTTATTCAAACTGTATGATGAGCAAATCATCCTAGAAACTAGGTTATATGAAGAGAGACGTGGTATCATGATTGGAGAAAGACTCATTAACCACCTGTGATATGCAGATGATACAACCTTGCTTGCTGAAAGTGAAGAGGACTTAAAACATTTGCCGATAAAGATCAAAGAACACAGCCTTCAGTATGGATTACATCTCAATGTCAAGAAAACAAAAATCCTCACCACTGGACAAATAAACAACATTCTTATCAACAGAGAAAGATAGAAGTTGTCAAGGACTTCATTCTTCTTGGATCAACTATCAACACTCACGGAAGCAGCAGTCAAGAAAACAAATGACGTATTTATTGTATTAGGCAAATCTGCTGCATAGGACCTTTTTAAAGTGTTGAAGAGCAAAGATATCAACTTGAGAACTAAGGTGCGCCTGACCCAAGCCATGGTATTATCAATAACCTAATATGCATGTGAAAGCTGGACAATAAATAAGGAAGACTGTAGAAGAATTTATGCCTTTGAGTTATGGTGTTTGAGGAGAATATTGAAAGTGCCATGGGCTGCCAAAAGAACCAATAGATCCATTTTGGAAGAAGTACAACCAGAGTTCTCCTTGCAGGCTAAGATGGTCAAAATTCATCTCTCATACTTCAGACATATTGTCAAGAGGGACCAGTCACTGGAGAAGGATATCATGTTTGGTAAGGTGGAGGATCAGAGAAAAAGAGGAAAACCCTCAATGACATGGATTGGCCAAGTGGCAGCATCGATGGACTCAAGCGTGGCAACAGAAGTGAGTTTGGCCAGGATCGAGCAGTGATTCATTCTGCTGTACATAAGGTCGCTGTGTGTTGGTACCTACTAGATGGCACCTAACAACAACAACGACTTTATTTGTGGAAATGTTGAGTTGTTTCCAGAAACCATTGTTATGAAAGAGACTTTTCCTTGTTCTTTCTGATGGTTAGAATGGAAGTATTGTGTGGCACTGTAGAATAAGCATTCAGCCACAAGGTCTGTGATTCAAACCCACCGGTCTCTCCTTGGAAACTCCATACAGGGTTTCTATGAGTCTAAACTAACTGAACAGGAAGTCACAACAACAACAGCAATGGAACATGCAGATGCAAACAGCTGATGGTGTGCAATGAGATCTGAATTTGCAATGATAACAATCACAAGAATTTTTCTTTATTGCCAGATTCTGGGCTAAATACTTTACACACTGTGGCATGAACTGCTAGCTGTTTCTAAACAATTGGTTCTCCCTCAGCAACCATAATCCCTTTCATCTACAGGAACGGGACCCCTGATTTATGGCTGGGGTGGAGCTGCAGGATAATGTGCTAGAGCTCAAGGTCACTTTGAACTGTAGGATCGGCCCCTCAAACCCAACAAGCACTTCTTGGAAATCCTATACAGGGTCACTATGGATCAGAACCTACTCAATGGCATTTAACAACATACAGCCACCTGTAATAAAGACAATGTTTCCCAAACCTCCTATGTGCTAGATTTGGGCATACAAAAGCACTCAAACCAATGGGGGAAAGTGAAAATGAAACTTTCACAAGATGTTCTTAAGAAAAAGCCTTTTCCTTGTCCTTTCTGGTGGCTAGATGTAGACTGTGGCTGGATGACTAGAAAGATGGAACTTCCATAAATCATATACAATAAGCAACCAGCTTAGAACAAAGTCTGGAGTCCAGGAACTGTGGAGCATTACACCAGCCCCAGATACCTCGTAGAACTTACTCAGGAGAGAGAAATAATTTGCTCTTCTTTAGTATATTGATACTTGGATCTTCTTTTAAAATAAAACTAAATCATAACTAAGATACATACATTATCTCATCCAGACTTCATTACAGCGCTTGAAGTGGCCATTATCAATATTTCTATTTTGGAAATGAGAAATGAGGCTAAGAGAAACTAGGAGAGAGTTTTGCCCAAAGCCAACCAAACACGAAATAGTAGAGCTAGGATTTGAAACCAGTCGTGGTGTCATGCAGTGGGATAAAGCATTGGACTTCAAGGTCCGTTTGAACCACAAGGTCAGTGGTTAAAACTCACTAGCTCCTCCTACACAGGGTTGTTATGAGTCTAACAACAACAAATCTGATGGCAGGAGTCCTGGTGTGGTGTCGTAGAATAAGCACCTCAAGGATGGCCATTCACATCCACCAGCAGCTCCTCAAAAAACCTTTACAGGGTCACTACGAGTCGAAGCCAACTCAACAACATGTAACAACAACAACAATCTGATGACAAAGAATCCTGGAGGCACAATGGTTAAGTGCTCACCTTCTAAATAAAGATGGTCAGTTTGAGCCCATTCCTTGGAAGAAAGATTGGGCAGGCTGCTTCCATAAGGACCGTAGCCTTGGCAACCCTAAGGGGCAGTCCTACTCTGTCCTGTA